AAAAAAAAAAAAAAAAACCACACAAAAAACCCCCAGGCCTGAAGTGTAACCAGTATGCTTCAGTCCTGACTGAGCCAGAAGGTACTGGGAATATCAACAGAGGTATTCAGACAATTTAGTCCGAATGTCGAACCACTGATGATGGTGTTAGGTGTGGCTCCACATAACGGACTACCCTCATGTGTTTGGTGGGACTTGGATGATGGTCATGAGCTTAACCTCAGGTATGAATTTGGTATACTGACTCCTGTAAAAGGGATACAGTTGGGTATTTGTGAACTGTAATTTATATATTTTTTGTTGTTTTTTAGTTGCAGATCGAAGTATCATGGACAGAAAACAGTTTGGATGATGTGTTTTGCCAGCATGTCTCTGCAATTTCAGTTTTAACAATGGATAAGTGTAAGCACGTAGGACGTCTGCGACTGGCCCAAGATCACTCCATTCTCAATCCCCAGAAATGGCATTGCATGGACTGCAATACTACGGAGTCTGTGTGGGCGTGCCTCAGCTGCTCACACGTGGCATGTGGAAGATACATCGAAGAACATGCACTAAAGCACTTTCAGGAGAGCAGGCACCCGGTGGCATTGGAAGTAAACGATCTGTATGTCTTCTGTTATCTCTGCGACGATTATGTTCTCAATGATAATGCGACTGGTGATTTAAAGCTGTTGCGGAGTACGTTAAGTGCAATCAAGAGTCAAAACTATGAGTGCACTACTCGGAGCGGGAGGACTTTGCGTTCCACGGGCACAAGCGATGATTCCTACCTTTCACATGGAGGTGCCCAAGCCACGCTTCGGAATGAAGATCGAATGTTCACAGCTCTCTGGCACCGACGACGTGCGTTCCTTGGCAAAATATTCAGATCGTGGCTTGAGTTAACACCTACTGGAAAAAGGATTTTGGAAGAAGAAAGACGTCGGGAAGAAGCAGAGGAGAAAAAGGACATAGCTAGGAAGAGAAGACAAGAACGAAAGCGTGAGTTGAAAGCAGAGATGGAAAAGATGCCTCCAAGAAAGAGCAGTCGTTTACAAAATCAGATTAGACTGTCCTCAAAAACAGATGCCTGTCCATCACAGAACATGGAATCTGTGACAGAGTTGAAAGAGACATATACCTCAGATGAATTGAGATTGAAAAAAATAAGTGACTCTCCAATTAAACGAAGGCCCACAGTGACTCCTGGGGTAACAGGACTGAGAAACCTGGGAAATACATGCTATATGAATTCTGTCCTGCAGGTATTAAGTCACTTACTTATTTTTCGAGAGTGCTTTTTAAAGCTTGATCTCAACCAAACTCAGGAACTGCTGGCAACAGCATCCAATGGTAAAACAAGATCTTCGTCTAAACACCCGTCAATAGCTGCCTCAACATTACATGTGAATGACAACCAAGAGAAAGTAAAGGGATCTTATTCTGTGAGGCGGCCTAGTTTGTCCTCCGGATTAAGTGGAGGAGCATCAAAAAGTATGGAACTCATTCAGCCCAGGGAGCCCAGTTCAAAGCATATTTCTCTCTGTCACGAGCTGCATACTCTGTTCCAGGTTATGTGGTCTGGCAAATGGGCGCTGGTGTCTCCTTTTGCCATGCTTCATTCTGTGTGGAGACTAATTCCAGCCTTCAGAGGATATGCCCAACAAGATGCTCAGGAATTTCTCTGTGAACTTTTGGATAAAGTACAGCAGGAACTGGAGACTACGGGGACCAGATACCCAGCTCTTATCCCTGCTTCTCAAAGAAAACTTATAAAACAGGTTTTGAATGTGGTTAACAACATTTTTCATGGACAGCTATTGAGTCAGGTATGTTTTATGATTTTTTTAAGGTGTGTAATGATTTGTGGTTCTGGGTTTATACTAGTCAGTCAGTGATGAACATACTTCAAAGGATCATACGTTTATAACTACCGAGGAGGGATGGGGAGGATATAATACAGAGTTTCAGAAGAAATGTCCTATCAGTAGAAGACTCAGCTGGTAAACATAAAAGTGTTAAATGTGGTATTTTAAAACACACCTTTCCAACTACTGACAAATATTTGTCTTTACTGTTAAGCACCAACTAATTTGAAGGAGTAAAGAATTTACAGTTTTAAGTATCTACTTTATCCTTATAGTGATACCAGATAAAAGGTGTTATGGAAGGTGTAGATCTTGTCTTAGTCAAAACTGATTAGGTAATGGATGTCAAACAGGATGTTATTTCAGTAAATAGCTTGAATTTGAGATTCATTACCACTGAGTGATGGCATATCACGATTTTATGTACAGGAATACTCATACTACTTTTCTGTTACAACACAAAGATACAGAAGGCTCTGTCAACACAGGAACCAAATTTGTGCAATGGTGGTTTTCCTTTTTTCTGCATGACTACTCTTTTTTTTTTTTTTTTCCTTGGCTCCCCGTTAAGTATTTCATTGTGTTTACTTACTATTATACATATCCCAGCTGTGTGTGTGTACAGATGTCTGAGAACTGACTGAACAATCAAATGCTTGTTTCTGGTGAATTAATCTAAAAACTAACCACATTGCAGCAGCAACAGAAGTTGGGAAAATCTTGTCTCCCTGGAATTGAACTTTAGTATGCATGCACATGTTACTGAGTGCAGAGCCATTCGGTGAATATGATGCGCAAAGAAGAGGTTTAACACAAATTAAAAATGTATCTGCTCCTGGTATTCTGACTGAACCGTGTTTTAATATGTGAAGCTGGAAATCCAAGTGGGTTTTGACAAAAGTAGGAATGTTTCTACAACACCTGTAAACTTCATGATAAGGTAACAGGGTTGTTTGCAGCACATGTTAGCTTTTAGTCATCTTAGGTTTTGTGAAACTACTAGAAACTGGTGTCTAGAAATTAGATCTGCTAATACAACCGAATCATCCTCTACCTTCTGTCTGGCCCAGTGTAAGAGCATTTCTGGTGGCATACTTCCTTTCCTTGGGTAGTTAACATATCTTGTATCAGTGTTGTGCTACTGTAAGTGTCCAGTGTATTATGTCGTTAAAGATTTTTTTGTTTGAAAATACCATTTCTCTCCAAAATAGGAACTTTACTAATAAAACAAAGTAATTGTTTAAGAATACTGACAAGGTTTGGTTGCATTCCAAGCCTTACAGGATTCATTGTTTTGGTAAAAGTTTTCAAGGCTCTAAAGACATAAGCATCATCTCGGTATTACCACTTCTTTCACATATTTTTAGCTTTATTTTGTGAAGAGGCTTGTGACTAGAAACACTCCCACCTTCCTGAGACCAAGAAAGGGAAGAGTGAGAATTACTATTGAGTAAATTCAAACAAACAAACAAACCCCACACTATTGAATTAAACTAAAAGGGAATTAAATAGTTTTGAGCTATCCTGTGACTTCTGTAACTAGAACATACAGCTCTTAATGCAGCTGGGCAGTGTCTTTGTGCAAAATACAGCCTTGATGAACTGGAATGCCTGAAATAAGAGGAATAAAAAAAAGGGTATTGAGGGTGTTATCTGTTTCTTGCTGTCTTATTATGCAGTTCCCACAGACTGTCCAACACTTTACCCCTCCTGATGCTCCCTTTGTCTTCTGCCACTCCTTTCTTTCAATTTAATCTTCACTAGCACTTTTGAACATGGTAAGTGTTGTAAGGACAATATAACCCTTGAAGATTTACATTTTTTCCTTGTAAAATACATTCAGGTCATCTTAATGATTCAGTCCCTGGTGTTTGCACATGGAAGGTTTAAAACCTGTTAGGCAATTATTTTCCTTTCCTCAGTCAGATTCCTACCTCATGATTTCACTATGTGTTTGTCAGAACTGCTTTAACGAAGTTAACAAAAAAGGCAAGAAAACAGTTATGCAGGGCTGGAAAAAAACCCCAGACTCCCTGCTATGTTATCACATCTTTGTCAATGTTAGCTCTTAAAAGTAAGGAGTGTACTAACAGTCCTTGTTGGCTTAACTTTATCTACCTACAAGCTGTGATGGAATTACAGTTTCTCTCTAGAAGACAGTTGGAGCCATTGCCTTTTGCATTTACTAAAAATAGGATGAGATTTTAGTCTAGAGTATTCAATAAGTTACATCTTCAATGAAAAAGGAGAATTGAGAAGCACTTTTCTGTGTGCAGTTGCCTTCTGTTTTAGAGTCACTAAAAAATTATTATAATTTCCCTTTGTATATAAAATATCAGTTCAAGATACTTGATTCTGTGAGATACTCAAGTGCATTGAAGTAAATTTTCCTGACCTTCAAACCTCTGGAATACTATGAACTACTCTTGATCCAGTACACAGAGGATCACTTTTACAATGCAGATAAGCTGCGTGTTTACCTAGGTTTTGCATTACTTTCACAGGTGCAATAAAACATTTCCCCCCTTCTTCTAGCTGTGCTAATTTAAGTTGAAGGGAGGTCATAATCCTGAGTTTGCTATCAGTCTGTTGTTGAAATGGCTCCCTGGTTCAGCACTAACTTAAGAAAGGAGAGAAATGAGTGTGTGAGAATCTTAGGCAGGTTACTTCTTGATAACTAGAAAAAGCTTTGGGTGATGTCAAAACAATCACACATTTTATGAGTGATTTGCTTTTGTTTACTTATGTTCTCGGTTGATTTAAAGCAAGTCTTTTTCATCTGCTGCTTGAAGTATTTTACTATTTTATGGAGCACTAGACTAGGCAATGGGTAACTCCAGGAATAGCATGATCAGATTGCCTCTGTTTTTTTA